AACCCGTGGCTCGTTGTTTTAAATTTTTGAAAAGGGGTACTCACTTTCCGTAGCATTTTAGGTGTAAAGTTGCTACCTAGCAATCTAGCACGCTTTTTGCTATTGGAAAAGTAACAAAACATGTGCAACGTAGCAACTTTACACCTTGAACGCTGCTCAACGTGAGCTACCGTAATATGTTTCAAGCATTAGTATTATTTTATTTGCGCTTTATTTAGAGTCATTTTGACAACCTCTTTAAGATAAAAAGCGCCGCATGATTCGTTTCTTTAACTTTATTAACTTCCAATTTTAGTATATAAGGAAGCTTCTAAAGAATTAGAGGCCTCACAATTTCAATTCACTCACTATAAGCATATGCCTAGTGGACCTGAGCAAAAAATTTCCGAAAAGCTGTCAACAGGAGGGCCTTTAAGGAGGCCAAACCATTGCTAGTACTTAGTCTTTCAACGATCAGAGTAGAATAAATACTGAGAATATTGTGATGATTGGTTAGTTAAAGATTATGGAATTTACGTTCATTATGAATGCCAAACTAATTGGTTGTTGTGCTAATTTAGCTCCAAAGGTACATGTTTCAAGGAGTAATTTTCTGATATTAAGTACATTTCTCCCTGTCGGAACCAATATATTGATATATATTTTCTAAATATAGGAATACCATCCACGAATCTACTGCTGATCCTTTATTGGATGCGGGAAGGGAAACATAATTCTTTGCTTGCTCAAATACAGATTAACTTTGAACTTAGATGGCATAATTTTGTGGTGCCTACTAAGTCTGAAATACTACTTAATCTTTGAATTCGAATTGCTGTGAAGAAATTTTAGAAGCTTGCATTTAAATGCTAACAAAAACTTCGAAAGCTTACAACATTTTTCCATGTAATTCTCTACTACTCAAATGTTTATGTTCATGTCGGAGAGTAGCAAACTATTTAGTTTAATCTAACTTTTCTTTTGGATCGACTCTTATTTAAAACATGTAGTACATACATACATATATAGATACACTATACGAAACATTTATTATTTTTTACCTCTACTATGTTCTACACCAAACTAGACTCCGCTTATTCGAAGTACGATTTGTTTTTAATATACTATATAATAAATTAATACATATACAGAAACACAAACAAAGAAAAGCAAAAAAAAATATATATTTTTTTAAATATTTAAGAAAAACATTTAGGAAAAATGGTACTTCAAATTAGAAGAACACAAAACATAAATACAAAACGTTTGAAAAATTTTAAGAGATGTCCCCAAATATGTTGTAATTATTTCCGCTTCCGCACAAAAAAAAAAAAACACTAAGCTGAGGCTGAACACTGCTTGCTAAGCGCTCGAGAACAATGGTTATGAAGCAAGAGGAGGTAGCTATTTTATGGTTGAGAAAATGCTAAGGTGGAATTCTTACAGAATTAGACTTCCTATAGACTTTCTCAGACGTGGCTTAAGCAAAGCATAGGTTCGGGTATTGGCTAATTTCACTAGCGTTATGAAAGCGGAAATGTATTACAACACGCCTTTGGCCACTTCTCCCCAGAGTTCTTGTGTGTAAAATTTATTTCGAGGATTTCTACAGCACACCTGCCGCCTGGTCATATCGCTTATTGCCCATTCCCAAACATAGTTATTGGATGTTTTTTTTTTTTAGTTTTTTTTTTTTTGTTTTTGGTTGCAAAGCGTCAACACTTCAACGTTTATCGCACGTGCTGTGTGTATAAGTAATGAGATTAATAGAAAGAAATTAGTAAATATTTCATAAATTATTTGAAAATTCTTTCTGTTAGTAATAGAGTTGGCAATTTCCACACAGCATCATCACCTGGATGACTACCAAAAATATAAATACTCGCTTTTCAGGCTAGAAAAAGAAGTACTACAAAAGAAGTATTACAGTTAAAGAACATTTGAATAATTGCGATCTTTCGAAAAATTTACAAAAAATAATTTCATATGGTTTTAGTAGTAATCATAATCCGACAACACAAAGAAAACACATATGTAAATCGATAAAAATAAATAATCACCAAATAAAATTTAACATTTTCTTAAAAAAAAAGAAGAAAAACAAACGATAACACAAAAGACTTTTGATATCACGATGATGAAAAATAAAATGTACAAATGTATATTCCAAGTTGTACGTTTACTCCGTACTGTACGTTCTAGGGCAGGGTTTCCAGGATTGTTAGCTGAAGCTTAGCTTCAAATATTTTCTGCCCCTTTGTTGGCAAAGTTAGTTCACAAATGATTTTATTGCATGCCATTTGTATTGACAGCTTCTTCAACATGCGAACTGTGTCGAAAACGTTTCAAGCTTGAAGCTGACAATGAAGTGAGGAATGGTAGACGCATCGGAGTGACACTACGACAATATTTAAAAAGCGTGTGGAAAACGCTTAGAGTACATCAAAAAGAAGAGTTTGTTTAATTAAAAAATACTTTTCATATGCAGGTATGTATTTAAAAGTATTTACACCATTACAAAAAGACGTTAAAAACAACACATATTCTTATAAGATAAGTATATATTTACTTGGGTAATACCATTGTGCAAAACTCTCCAGCGAGTAATGCAAACGAAGCGTAATTTCAGAAGCAACGCCCAAAACATACATAAATATTTCTTAGAAATATTTTAAAGATTTTCTTTTGAAAACACACAAACACATTCAATAATTTCAAATGGAACGAGAAGATCGATTCGTAACTGACGTTTTGGGTCTGCTATTTTTCACATCACTATCATTAAACGTTGAAAATGGAAATGGAAATGCTAATGTAAGCTGTCATTAACAAGTAAATAGTTGTGAGTAGAGTATTAGTAACAGTTTTTAATCATACATGGTTTTGCAATTATTTACAGCGACTAGTTCTGCAACTGATTTTCTTCAACAATTTCATTCTGGTGAAAGAATATTTTAAATTCAAAAACATTTCTTTAGCGTTTGCGGTAATTTTTGGCGTTAGAAGTATCCCAATAAGTAGCAAATGAACAATTATCCTTAGAAAAAATTTTATAATTCTTTTTGCCATATTTATCGCACAACAAACACAACAAAGCCAAGAAACATCAAGTTAACATGTACATATGCATCTTGTCCAATGAGTTCTTAAACATGGAAATAAAGCTGAGTGTTGATAAAGCTGAGTGTGGTAAAAGATAAACAAAAAAGTTAGTAAATAGGTACATGGAACTATGCGACTGTGGTGACTGAGGCAAAATTTACAGCGTTAATTGGATTTTTTAAATTATCATTTATCATAGTTATTCGGCTGAGTTAATTTGATTTGTTTTTACACTAAAATTGTGACAGAAAAGAACTTAAATTTTCGAGTAAATAATTTTGTGAACAATAATATGCGGCACAGACATTTTTTATTACGTACAGGTCACCATATTCGGTGCTTTGAGCAGTAAATATAACAAATCTAAATCTACTTTGTTGACCCCCTCTGAGACCACGATATTTACGGGAAATCATAAGATGTTCACATGCGAAAATTTCCCGAATCAATGAGGACTTAATTAATATGTCTTGTGGCGAAATATATATAGTGCAAAAACTAAAACGCAGTGGGGGCATCCTGGACTTTTTAAATAACGAGGCACTATAGAGTGGGAACATTTCTATGCAGAGCGGGGCCATATGATGTTAGGGTGGTCCCTACCCCCTACCCCCTTCCCCTTCTAATATAACGTATAAAATATTCTCGACGAAAATGTATCACATAGACAGAGTGTTCTGTAACAGCTTTCTCTGGTCGCTAATGAAATAAAGTTCTACCATCCGTATTGTGTACCAGGGGATTTTAGCGCAGATTTCAGCTTCAAACGGAAATAAATCAAGATATCGTTTAACAACCTAATGCAACGATTTATTTGTGTATGTACATATATAGCTCAGCTCATATCATGCTCATAATTTTAAATGATACCACAAAAATGATCTAGCATCTAGAACTGAAGTCGTGCTATCTGACCTAGAATTGAGATTGGCTGTAAAGATGGAGTCCCATCGGACACTGTGATCAAAGATTCATTATACTTGAAATTTAGCAGATAAGAAAAAGGGGCAAAGTTGGTAGTCCTCAATTAATTCTGGCCTCTAAAAGCGCTCAGAAAACCGAATATAAGAGCCTATGCTTAAAAAAATGCTCATTTTTATTCTGCTCCAAAAAACGCAATTACTTTTGCAAACCTTTAAAGGTTTTTACAGTTAGAAAAAGAAGAAAAACTTCTCGCTTCTTTATTGACGCTGCAACCGCCTAAGCGATTTTGGCCGAGTCCACAAGAAGAAAAACACGAAAACTTATTTCAGATTAGGATTAAGGGATATAAAATATGTAAGTATTAACTAATTCAGTTCGTCAGACAATGTGTAATTAATTTTATCGAAACTTCAGGCAAAAGGGGCCGTATCTTATAAGAATTTATTATTTATTTACTTAAGAAGTGAGAATCTATAAAGTTTTGCTCAAATAGCCAGAAACGCCATACGTCATGCACCGAATTTCATCCTTTATCTTTCACTTTAAGTGTAAAAACAAACAAAATTTCTCCCCTGAATATTTTATTACGAGTACGTATGTATAAATATATATGCATGTATACGTATGTATATGGATAAATAAGTGTAGATTAAAATATTAAATGCGATGTTATAATGCTTCAAGGTTATGTGGAACTTAAGAGTTACAAAATAAGATGTAAAATTATAAATTAGAAAAGAACAAAACAATACAACACTTAAAATTATGTAATTGAAATTAGAAAAATTAATTTATATAATACATATAAAATATAGCGATAGAAAGTAAAAATAAAACATAATAAAACTTTACAGACGACAACAAAAACATTTCCGCTTCGAAGATACTCACTAAAGATATTCGTAGATAACTATTTATTTATTTATTTCGCTTGATCCGGAAAAGATTTACGTAGATATAAATGTTTGCGCTGTTACCAGAGCATCTCAACTTACCCTCGCGGCGAAGCTGGTGTTTGGCTTCTCGAGCAGCTCCCATAAGTACTTCTGGTATTCAGCACACTTGCCTTCGCCGAACTCTTCTTCGTCCCGTTGTCGCAGCGATTCGGCTTCTTTGCGCATTTCTTCGTGGACATTCTCTTTTCGCTGGTGGTACTTGTGCTGGCAGCACGACTCCAGATACAACTCATCGACCCCCCAGTACTCGAGATCATCACTAAATGCCAGAACACACATCTCGTCGACGATGTGTAGCTTTCCGGTACGATAGAAGTTCAATATGGAGCTGAAACTTTTCGGGTGTCGGTCGAAGAAATACTCGTTGTCGACTATCGAATAGTCGTCGCATAGCTCAATGATTGCCTCGTGCGTGGTGCATTCGCGCAATCGGCCCAGACGTGTGTGCGGCAGTCTTTCGAGTGTGCGCCAGAGAACCTCATGTTTAACGCCGCCTACATTGATGGACACGCGGCTATTCACTTGTTTCGATTGCGCTATCATAAAGGGTTCGGGTGGTGGTATGGAGGACATGGATCTGGAATGTGCGCGCTGCAGTGCGCCAGTGCCCATGTTGCCGTGCATATGGGAAGTCGTCGGATTGGAGTGCGTCGGTGATGGTATTGGGAATGGAGCGTATCGCACTTCTTTGCCAACAGCGCCGGTACTACCAGCACCAGTGCCGGTACCGCCAATGCCACCGATATTTTGACCGCCAGGCGCGGCAACGCCACCGATACCGCCATTGCCCATAGGGCCACCAAGGCCGCCTGCGGTGTGCGTGGTTGTGGCGGATGCGCCAGTAATACTGCCGCCATCGTCGTAATCCAAGTTTCCAATGCTGCCGCCACCGATATTGTTGAGATTGCGTTGGCTGGTAGTGACGCTGGTACCGGCAGCCGCAGAAGCAGCTGCGCCATTGTTATAAGCAAGATTGCCAGTTGTTGGGACAGCTCCAGTGCCGCAACCAAATGAACTAGCTCCACCGGTTCCCATCGCTCGGCCCCAATCGACATTACCGCTTGTATCGTAGTAGGCTTGGTTATCGTTGTTGTCGCCAAGGTCGTAGCCCTGGGTGATGTGACTGAGGCTACTGACGGCAGCTGTTGCTCGAGCTGCCGGGCTGCGGCCAAGCGTTTCGTTTTCAATCCAATTACTGGTTTGTTGCTGCTGTTGTTGTTGGAGTAGTTGTTGCTGTTGCAATTGCAAATGTTGTTGCTGCTGTAGCTGTAGATCGCGCTGAGACTGTTGCTGCTTTTGCTGTTGTTGTTGTTGTTGGCTAGCAGCCTGTCCACCATGCAGTTGTCCGACCATTTGCGTACCTCCATTATTGAATTGGGGCGGTGTTGCATCACCCGTTTCCCAGCGTACCGTTTCACGGTCTCTATCGCGTTCGCCGACCATAAGTCCGCCACTGCGGTAGAAAATAGAAAGCAAGTTATGTAACTAAATAACACAATTTGTTATTAAACAAATGATTCTTCAAAGGCTTGCTGTTGGGGTAACAAGGTATTTTTCCAATCAATAATATTCTTTAGGTCTGGTGGTTTATGCCAACGAAGCTTACTTGAATAAGCAAGAAGATAGAGTGCAAAAAGTTCTATAAGGACCTGGGTCTGAGCAGTTCTAGTGGAAAACTATGTATCTGGACGAAGGCAGTGGCAGCCACCATTATGAAAGCAGTTGGATAGACACTATATAAGAAAAAGTGTGACAGAGGCAGCATTTAGAAATTTTCCATATTTGGAGAAGAAAGGTTTGCCATTTTACAAAAACATTAAACATAGAATTCGCGATCGCTTACAACATGCGTTTGGTTTAATCTGGAGAATGCGTCATTGCTACTTATTACTCTGGTTATCGATAACACTTTTCTAGCTATGAATTTTAAGTAATATGTCCTTTTGTCAAAAGTATTAATTAGGCTACTCTGCCCCTCATGGCTTCACATATTTTTGTATGCTGTGCGTTTCGGCCCATTGGAGTTGCTCTTGAAGTCCGCCTGCCAACGACTCACTACTCATTTTTACTGCTGCGGATTACATTTATTATACATCTACGAGTGATTCTGCTCACCAAAGCTCAATGAACGTTGCGTAAAAGCTCCGTAAATTATTTTTCTTATAATGGTGCCACAATCGACGCTTTTTCATATCTGTCCAGCTGTGTCTGTTATAAGAATCGAGCTGTGGGTATTAACTAAAATTTTACTTAACCCCTTCGCTTCCAAAAATTTTCCCAAAAGTATAGGTATAAGCTCTATTGATGTACATACGTAAGTATAAATCTTTTCGAATAATATCTATTTCGAATTGGCAAACGTAAAATAAATATACTTACCGCTACATTGCATAAATTTTGTTATTACAGTCTCTATAGTAATCAAGCAAATTTTATTTGTGACTCTCAGGAAAATTTTTTTAGATTTCCTCTCGAAATGTGTGCTTTTTTACTAAATTAAACTTAGTTGTATGGTCACGAATCACAAATATTTCCACTTCCTTAGTATCCGGTATATTATTTGCAGCATCCACTTCAAAATTATAAGTTTGTATTGCGTAGCGGCTCTCCCACATGTCTTTTTCGTATGATTGAATCACAGGCTGTTAAGTTCCCTTAGCTAATCCCAAATGGTCGTTCTACTACCACGATGTACATATATTAACCACTAATCGATTTCACACTCTTCGCAATTATTTATCACAACGGAACGTACAACTTTTGGCAGCTTATCAATGCGGCTGGCACTATGATTATCTTCATTATGTGTGCGTTTTTATAGTTGCATTTTTATATCTGAAAGAAAGGATTATAGGTTAATAAATTGTATTTGTAAGTACATATGTATATACATATATATATTTATATATGAGACATTCTTTTTCGTATCGGACACCAAATTTGGTGTACCAATTTCGATTCGCTTCAACATTTTTTTATGGATTCCACACATAAAATAAGCTAACATGTTTTCGAGGAAACTTTTTTAAAATTTTTTTCTTCGGAGATATGATCTGTCAAAGATTGGATTTTTTTGTGATTTTGACTAATCATGTAGTGATTACCAGTAAATTAGAATATCGCTTCGTTCACAACATTTGTTCGACTACTTTTTCATATTAAAGAATATTCAAGAAATGGGATTGGCTAAATTAAAACCAAAGTTCCAAAATTAAGACTTTATTGTGGTTTTCGCCAGAATATCTATATGGATTGAAAAAGTTGTGGAAGAAATAATGTTAACAAAGCGATATCCGCAGCAAAATCTGCGTTTTGCTAGCTTTAGTCCTGCAATTGTCACGACCATTTCGTCATAAAGAAAAATATTTAAAAATAGTTCTTGAAAAATGCCAATTTTTTTACCACGTTTTTTATAGAGAATTAAACATAGATAACGATGGTATAATTTTAAATACCTAATTTACTCGTCTTCACTATCTAAATCAACTTGAAAAAGTTCAACTGTTAATAGCAAAGTTAGCTTTAGGACAATTTTGACCATCTTATTTATAGAAATGTTAATTCTGTTTCTTTAGCTTTAAAACGTCGCTAAGATGAAGTCTCCACGATGAGCGGACCCCGAGATATAACGATTTGAAGAAGTACATGATTAGTCCGATTCACGAAAAAATGCAAACTTTGACAGATCATATCTCCGAAGAAAAAAAAAATCCTCGAACACGTGTTAGCTTATTTCATGCATAGAACCCATAGAAAACAAGTAATATAGTCTAATTTGGCGCGGAGCCGAACATTAGATACCCGGCGCAAGTATCAAATATAGTTTAGTAGGCAAATGTTGTTTGTTGTCCGAAAAATACCGCAACATGGTAAGCAGGGGTGTATTTATCCCTATTTCACACATCTTCGATAAACTTATGTAGTTATATGTGGGCGCTATCACGCTGATTTTCCGAAATTCCATAATAATGTTACTTCTTTTCTTTTTGTGTACATAAATTAGCGTCCTTAAATTTCGAAATATCAAAGTTTCAAGCATTTCTGAAATTTACCGTTATATAAAAAGTGGCCGTAATTTTAGTCCGATTTCAATAATTCTCAGCGTTTTACTTTTATGTGACAAGCATAATAACCTTACCGAGTTTGGTACAAATTGGTCGAACGGTTACCGAGATACTTATAAGTTGTCACAAGCGGGCGGTGCCACGCCCATTTTCCAAATTTTATCATACGCGTATTTTGTGCTAAATAATTATTGCAAACATCAATTTTGAATAAGTTTGCTTCGGTATTTACTGATTTAACGAAGATTTCGTATTTCTCTAAATTACCGTTATGTGGGACGTGTGCGTGGTTATTGTCTGATTTGAAAAAATTTCAGCCGTTTGGTATGTCTTGTCAAGGCCAACCACTGTACCAAGTTTGGAAGAAATTGGTGCAGCGGTTACCAAGCTATACACATGTAACCATAAGAGGGCGTGGCTACGTCCATTTTCCAAAAATTTATAATATTCTTATTTTTCGTCAAAAATTATTGTACATATCAATTTTGAGTGAATAATCTTCAGTAGTTACTAAAATATCGCAGCTTTCGTATATCTGAAAATTACCGTTATATGGGAAGTGGGCGTGGTTATTGTCCGATTTTCCCCATTTTCAATACCATCAGTCCTACGCCCGAAAGAAGTTTCGTTAAGATATCTCAATTTTTACTCGAGTTATCGTGTGTACAGACGGACGGACGGACAGGCAGTCATCGCTTAATCGAGTTCTCTTTTCATTCTGATCATTTATAAAAAGCACCCAGCATTTTAAAAGCGAGCTATATAAACTTTATGCCTAAAGAACTATAATTTCAATTCATTATCTTGCCTTTACCTTTCTCTAGCCTACGGTTGTTGTGTTGGATTATTATTAAATAAGTAAATAAGGCAAATGATACACGAAATCAATATTAATGACACAGAAATCGAATGTTAAAAAAATTAGGTCACGTGTGGAAAAGGAAGGCATGGATAGTTAATTACACAATAAAATTCGTCTTAAGGCATTTGTGTAAAACATACCAATAAGAGTTTCACTATCCTGTCGGGAATCTCGTAGACGACTACTAGCTGCTCTGCGAGTACCGACTTCAATTGAAAAAAAAACGCTAAAAATCGCCAGCCATGGAAAACTGAGAAATTACTTTTCCATGTACAATCCAGACTTTCGGGAAAATTTGGTTTCATCAATTCCCCAGCCGACTGCCGAATTGTGTAAGCAATTTATTTTTTGTCTGCGATGAGATTACTTTTTCAGTATTGCCCATGTGCTGCACAATTAAATGTAGGTACTATATCCCAGCAAATATGTCGATGTATGCATGTAACTGAATACAACTGAACCGAATATCTAATAGCAAATGCTTAATAAAATATGCAAATGCTTTTATGGTAAAATCAGGTACAGAATTAAACAAAGAAACAAAAGTAAGCTCGACAGAAAAATTGATATGCCAATGAAGTCCAGCAAATGTTGAAGAAGAATATTGGCAGGTTGTCAACTAACTGAAATGTGCAAATGCGCAACTTGTATGGACTCCTTGACATGAGTTAACACAACATGTATTTACATACGTATATGTACATGTGTGCGCGCCTGCAAATATCCAGCAAATATGAATGCAAGTGAGTCCATACATACTACTTATGTAAGTGTCTTAAACCGGCTGCAGAGGTGCGATTTGGGCTAGTCGGCCACTAACATAATCGCACACCTTGGATGATAACGACTTGCAGCTATACCTGGCAGAAAGCAACGGCAGCGGAAACAAGTCGAGGCTACCAATTGGGCGTTGCACTTCCGCTGCAAATTGGAACAAAGCCATTCCTATTTACGGCAGCTCATTTACAAATTCACAAGGTTAACATAAATCCAAACAATATTTACAACATTCACATTTAGGCTCCATCCATACACACATGCGCTGTAGTCAAATGTACTACCTTACAACTAGTATGAACCGCATGCCCAACTAGTCAGCCAAGTATCTTTTTTCCATGCAATCAACTAGTATTTTTGACATGGGGATGTCCTACGATACCAGTCTTATGCTAGTTCAAAATAGACCGAAAATACTAGTCCAATTATGGACCGAAACCACTACTTTGGGAGTAAAAAAATGAAATGAATTCATGAATATACAATAAAAAACTTTTAAACCTTATTGTATTACACATTTTTATTTAGCTGCTTTAGATTTGGCATAACAGAGGTCAACAAAAAAAAATCGATGAAAGGTTCCTTTGGCCAAACCTAGTCTGCAATATGTTTTTGGAGTCGCTGAACCCGAATCTGAAGTCCGCTTTGCTCCCTCACGTCTGGATTTTTTTCTAACCTCAAAAAACATCTCGAATTTTACGTGACACGCAGTTAAGAAATAAAGTATTTTCAAAACTACTGCGTCTGGTACCCAAATGGTAAATATTGATTTACCTATTTAAATAGTTTGAATTTAATTTTTAAACAGGTGGCAGCCCTCTTCAAACACTTTAAAAATATTCTAAGCGTTCAAACTAATGATTTCTTAAGATTCATTCGCTTAACTTTAATATTTTGATACTTCATACAAATTAGACTTTTCAAACAGGTGGCAACCCTCTTCAAAATGTTTACAAACTACTACGTGCTTAAACTTTTCGTCTGGCACCCATACATATTTCTATTACCTAATTCTCTTAATTCAAATTGGATTTTATTTTTTAACAGGTGGCAACCCTCATAAAGTTAAGTTAAGCAACAAAGATTTACAAAACTGTTTCCATTTATGCCCATTTTGTAATAATTGGGTTAGCTTTTGAAATAATTTGAACTTAATTTTTTAAAAGGTGGCAACTTCTCTCGAAGGAGTTAAACCTTTTTGCGCACCTAAAGTCAGAGTCTTTTGATTTGGCACCTCACTTTTGAAAATCGAACGAACGATTAAATTATTTGAATTCAATTTTTTATCAGGTGGCAACTCTTTTCTAAAAAGTAAAACCTTATTGCACATTTAGAGACCAAGCGCTTTAATTTGACATCTCATTTTTGAAAATCGGGCGAACTGTACAGATCTTTTATGCTGCACAAAGAATCCCTTCGCGTATTATATATATAGATATGTATGTAAATAAGTATTTATTTGTATATACATATGCATTGTATGTATTAGAGAGCTGCAAAGTTCCCAGCCAAACTGCACTTCTCACATTCACTCAAAAAATAGGGACACATTTTTGCGGTACCTATAAAAGAAGAAACCAAAAGCAGAGAACATCCCAAATGAGCGTACCTGAATGATGTTACTCGACGGCGCTCTCCTTCGGCTAGGGATAAATCGATACAGGTAAGTCCAAGCACATACTCTATACTTTTCTCAATTTACCAAGTAGTGTTTTACTCGATACTTTTTACTGCGATCCAAGTAGGTATCGAAAAAAAAGCACTTGTATTGGAAGCGCAAAACTTATTTTGCTTCAGCGTCTTCTTTGATAAGCAACCCATTAGAGGAATGGGAAGATATGAGCACTACATTTCCGCAGCCATATAAGCAAGCCCGTCTATACATAACGGTTGTTCGGCCATCTGTCCCTTGCGAGAGGCTTTGCTCAAAAACAGGTACAACTATTAGACATGTTCTAAAATTCGAAAATTTAAAATCGACTTGACTTCGATAATTTTTTCGATGGTTTAACCCATAAATTTACAAGTCTCGCATTAAAATAATTTATTTCATATCGCTGCTGCTTCTTTTACGGTTTTCAATTAGAATATTCACTCTTTTTATCAGATATAATTAAAAAATATTAGGCAAG